GCTTCGTGTGAAGTGAGCATGGAGAAAATTAAATCCTTTGCAGACAAGCAAGTTTTAGAACTAAAGAAGCTGGCTTTGCCCGAGAACCACTGTATACATTTGGCAGAGTGTTTTGTAGCCGCAAAGGTCGCGGCAAAACAGGGAAGATGGTACACAAATGACTGGCTTCTCCTCTGCCTGCTTTTAAATGTACGCACGCCATCTGGCTACAGATTTCTGAGAGAACACAATATCCTGCCATTGCCCTGCGTGAAGACGATCAGAAAATACATTTCCTGCATAATAAGGAAGTGTGGCTTCGACAAAGATGTTTTCGTTGCTGTGAAAGACAAACTGTAGCCGAAATCCAACTTCCAAGAGCATAGAATGCTCCTTTTCGACGAGATGCAGGTCTGCGAACAAAAGTGTGTCAATTCCAAGACACCTATGCCGGCTTAGTGTAGCATGGTCAGGGAGTGAACCCTGCTATAAAGGTAGTGCGATTGGCCTGGCCAATTACGTCTTGTCTTCACGTTTATTCCGTTTGGGGAGAGCTACACTCAATCCATCAGTGTTTTTGCTTCACGAGGTCCAACGAAGAGAACAGTGCTAACCCAGTGGGTGCTGCAGGCCATCATACTTCTAGACAAGACAGGTGCGCTCGTCGATGGAATTGTTTGGGATAGGGCAAGCAGAAACAGGAGGGTGTGGACCCAACTCGGCATAAATGGGTGACACAGTTCAAGGAAAAAATAATTTGAACACCCAATGAACAACGCAAGGAAGGTGTATGTCTTCTATGGCGTACCAAGCCTCGTGAAGTGCGTTTGTAACAGCCTCCTGAAACAGCACCCTCTGAAAGTGAACGGTAAGTGGGTACACTGGTCTCGTTAAACTGCTATCTACAGAGTGGATTTCAAGATTGCAGAAAGCTTGAAGGTTTGCCTTAAAGTAACACATCATCATATACAGTAGAAGCTCGTGTATATGTTAAAAAAAAAATGTGGAAAATAAATGTACGATCCGAATCCAGCAAAAAATGAGGCTGACAAGTCCATACAGAGGTGTAAGAGCAAAAAACATTTTTTTTTCTAAAAAAACAAACATTGTATGTATTTTTCTGCTGCTGTCTCTCATCTTTGGACAACAAAAGCTTTTTTTCTCACGTTGCAGACTATTGTCTGCATTTTCATTGCTTTTGCTGCAAAAGAACCTTTGTAAATATTCTATTCGATCAAGGGCTTCGCCGAAGTTAGTTGGTCGATGCATGCTTATGTTCTCGCCCCTGTGTTCCGGTGCTTCGTCTCCCACCTTCTTTGCCTAGTCGCCCCCCACCACCTCCACGAAAATCTCGGTGACACTTTGCCGCTTGCGAGTCGGGATGTTATCGTCTATCGAGATGAACTCAGCAAAGGGTGCGTTGGCGCCGGTGGAGAGAAACTCCTCATCGATGTTGCCATCAATGTCAGATGCGCACGTCACAGGGTCGTCTTTCCTGCGCTCTGTGTCCTCTGATGCACACCGCTGCTGAAAACCCCACTTCCTGAAAGAGAAGCTCCTTAAGCATGCTGCCATCAAAGTTTACTCCAAAGGCCCGTGATTGCTTAAACCTTGAGTAACTGTATACGCTACCTTGAGGTAGTAGAGTAGTGTATTTATTTTGTAACGCGGCTAGCAATCATGCACTGCGAGGAAGCTGGTGTGCAGGCCGCACTGCCGAAAGCCATTGCCGTGTACTTGGAATCTATCCAGTAACCGTCGTGTGCTCTGTAGCTCGTTAGCTAAGAAAAGGTGCATTTATTTGCTTTAGATTCATGTCCTTAAGCTTCGACAGAAAAGTATTTGCATGAATTCGGCACCATTTTTGAAAAACATACTTGAATAATCAATGTTGTGGGCTTAGACGGGTGCTCCTTGAATCTCAGAGGACCTATTGGGACCAAGCCCGTGCCCCCTCCCCACTTCCCAAACGAAAATTTTCCATGGTATAGGCACACAAAATAATGGCGTACCACCTCTGTCTGCCCGGGCCTAACTCTAGTCAAGATGGTGCCCCGATCCAGAAAAAAAAAAAATCTGCCAACGCCTTTGTCGCCTGGGACTTGAGCTCATAGGTTTACTTCCTTGCTTATAGATTACATCTGTAGAATGAGCCCATAGCCACTGTCACTTTCTCTCAATGTTCTTTTGATCTACAGGCGAAAACGTGGCCAGCTTCGAGAACTGATTCATCTTCTAAGAGCTGCTGTAAAACATGATGCAGCTTATGAATGAAGCTGTAAAAAAAAAAAAAAATGGAAGAAAACTGGACAAGAAAGGAAAACTGGCAATTTTACTAAAATATGAAATTGCCGTTTAGATAACGGTATGCAAGACCTCGCAGCATACGTATTCAAGGGTGCAAAATGATACAGCTGACTATGATACAGTAATAACAACGAACTATTCATGTACACCATTTACCGCTCACGGTACACAGATCTCGGAAGCGTATTTTTAATCACCGACACTTTTACACTTTCTTCCATATTGAAAGCTGCCCATGACACGAGCAAAAAAAAAGTGGCCCCCCTTCTGTACCACTCGTAATGTAGAAGAGAGAGAGAGAGAGAGGGGGAGAAAAAAAAAAAGATGGGGCACACTATTCGCTAAACCCCACTGCATGGCAGGAGATGCAGAGGGGTCATTCCTTGTGCAGCACTTTAAAAGAAAAATCAAATAGCATTGTGGACATTTTCCGTGCGTTTCTCAAATACAAACCCATACTAATCACGATGGTTGTTGCTTCACTCTGTGGCAATTAAGGCTAGCCTGTCACCATTACGCGGGCCTTGCCGCGGTAGTTTAGTGGCTAAGGTACTCAGCTGCTGACCCGCAGGTCGTGGGATCAAATCCCGGCTGCGGCGCCTGCATTTCCGATGCGCGTTCAAGAACTCCAGTGGTCTGAATTTCCGGAGCCCTCCACTACAGAGTCTCTCATAATCATATGATGGTTTTGGGACATTAAACCCCACATATCATCATCACCATTGCGCGAGCTTTGTTGCCTATGCTGCCGTTCTCATGTTCTAACATGACTTCTCCATGGTCTGACAGTGCTGGGAGAGCAGCAGTGATGTTGACTTTTCTCACATAGCTCTGGATCATACCGGAGTCTTCAATCATGGTAGCGCTTCGCGGGACGATTTCGCACGCGTGCCTGGCAGGAGTAAGAGAGATACTTTCGGGACAGCAAACAGTGAGCACGCATTTTCTTTCTTGTCAGATGCCTTTGTTTGTTCTTGGAGCTCGCCAACGGAGCCCCGTCGCGGTGGTCTAGTGGCTAAGGTACTCGACTGCTGACCTGAAGGTCGCGGGATCGAATCTTGGCTGCGGCGGCTGCATTTCTGATAGAGGCGGAAATGTTGTAGGTCCGTGTGCTCAGATTTGGCTGCACGTTAAAGAACTCCAGGTGGTCGAAATTTCCGGAGCCCTCCACAATGGTGTCTCTGATAATCATATGGTGGTTTTGGGACGTTAAGCCTAGCATATCAATCCAGCTCGCCAACAGTGCCTTGCGACGACGTAAAACTATTTGGTAAAGCACTCTCCATATGCAGTGCGGACTCACATATGTGACACTAACTAAAAGCGTGGCACTGCCAATGTAAAAATGGTTCTCTTTTATTGTTTTTGGTTTGGAAGGGGGGAGGACACATCCATCCGTGGCTGCAAGATCGGCGGCAGTGCTGCTGGTGGGGCGCAGGCCCACCTTCTCGCCTCGTGCACATTTGTGCGCAATGTTGAGCGCTTGCTCTTGCCTGGGAGTTGCCAGGGCCATGAGCACGTCGCCGCCTCGCGCTTCATTGGCGACGGGACACCCGAGGAAGATGCATGCTTGTACCAAATGACAAAATCTGGGTCAAAATTTCTAGATTGTTTGTGGCCAAAATTTGTTATGTCAAGGATGCCTCCCGCTGTTGCTTTATTACACAGAAGTCACAAATACATGAACTTCTGTGGAGTAACAGGGGGAAATAGGAACATTTCGTTATACCGTAAAATTCATTATATGGAGGTTCGGTATAAGCAGGTTTAACTGTATATACTATTCAAATTCAATTAAAATTGTTCAAACCAAAGTAATGTTCAAAAAATTTCACTTTCAACCTAGAATTTACTATCCGCACAAATCTTCAAATGTCAGATAAGCCGTAAAGTAAGAGTGTGAAATTGGGCATGTTGATTGATATGTGAGGTTCAACATCCCAAAACCACCTGCATACCTATGGTCTGAAGGATAACATTATCTGCTTGACTGTCCGGGTAAAACAAGCATTAGTGGGAGCCATATGATTGAGTTACTCTGTGCTAGAGGATCAGAGAAAAGAGAGACACTTAAAAAAAGCACAAACAGAAAGTTAGTCTTGTTTCGGAAAAGAGCTGTAATGGGTAGCAACACTAGTGTTGGGTAGCACCACCCAATTTTTAAGATGGTGCTGAATGTGACCAACGAGCACCCTTCACTGGGTGTTTAGGATTGCGAAAGCACTAAAAGAGTCAGCAATCATGAAGGTGATGCTTTTAAATGTAAAGATGTGAGTCGCATATTATATCTTCTTATGCTTTAAAGGTTTCTCACTTTTTTAGGTTGCCTTAAGTGCATAATGTAGAGTGGTAAGGTTAAAATAAAAGCTTAGTTTTTGCAGCGCCTGTAGTGCAGTTTATTGTGAATTGTAGGGGTCTGCATGCTGCCGCCATGGTCAAGAAAGGGTGTACATTACAATGAGGGCACCCGACGAGCAGAAGCAAAGAGGTCAACTTGAAAAGTTTTAGCAGATCCAGTGTCCTCATAATAGCAACGTGCTACCATGCTACAAAATGAAGCTTTGCTCAGTGCTTATTTCATGTTGGATAATTAAATAATGAGGTTATATTTACATGGGTTTGAATGTTTTGATTCTTCTGAGCGAAGAACAGCATGCATCGAGGTAAATGTGACTGTATTGAAAAGGGCACAATGTTTCTTTGCTGCAATGCAGTGAGCAGGTCACAAGCAACTCCCACTTCATGCTTGACTCGGACACGGGTGTGCTGTCACTGGCCTTGCCCCTCGATCACGAGGCCTCCCAGCAGCACCTACTCACCATCGCAGTGCGGGATTCGGGTGGACCTGTCACACGGCGGGGCTTTGCTCGTGTTCGGGTGCTGGTGACAGACCACAATGACCACGCACCGGAGTTCCTTCAGGCGCGGTACGAAGTGCGCGTGTCAGAGACGGCGGCCCCAGGCACAGTACTACTGCAGCTCGGGGCCCTGGATCGGGACCGGGGACCCAATGCCCTACTGACTTTTTCTTTAACCTCAGGTGAGTTGTGCTGGAAGTGTGGATTTCTGTGATCTCTAACGGATGATTTGCACTGGCCTTCATGCCTGTTAGGTTTCCAAAGACGGTGCATGTTCAGGAAGTGATAAAAAATGCTTGAAGCACAGAGTGTCACTGGAGCCACCCTGCTCCGAGCATTTCTCGTTTCTGATAAGTTGATGCACAGGTTCCAAAGGACTCGATAGTGGCATTTTGATATTTCACTTTCAAGTTTGCAGTCAGACACGACCATTTGAGAAAGCTTGAGATATGTTTTGATGCACTCTTATTTGACCCCTTCAAAATATTTAAAGGGACACTAAATTGAAACAATGAATCGGTGTAGTCTGTCTGGGATCTGTGGTAAGAGAGCCACGCTCTCAGAACACTCGGGACACAGCAGATAGGGTCGGGCAAACCAATATGTGTACATTTATTCACTTACTTTTACAAACAAATATGTCACCAGCTGAACCAATTACATCACCAGTGATCAACATGCTAAAACACCCTCCCAGTATGTAGAAATCTGTTAAAAAGAACCACTGTTTAAATAAAACAAGGGCTTCTAACAACGTTGGTTTCATTCTCGCATTTTGCACTTATGGTTGTTTCTCAGTAAATGGAACCTCAGTTAACAGAACCTATTTTTCTGGTTCCTTTAAGTTCCATTTAGTGAGAGTCTACCGGAGAATATTCCTAGTATGACACTGAAACAAAACTATATATCAACAAGGTACCACGAATGCTGCATTGCTGAGAGTCGACTCAACTCGAGAAATCCATGATAAACAACCTGCAGTTGCTGTTCTCATCGATCCATCGCTGGAGATGTCTATCTACACCAGCCATAAAAGCCAAAAAATGTGCTTTTTTTTGGCGCCGGCCCAACTTCCCTATTGCAGGAGCTGCTGGTGCCATTACTTCGCGCAAACAGTGCCTCAACTTGCGCTCGACGGCTGTTAAACCTAAATGCAGCCTATCCGTGTGACATGTGTGCACCACGAATTAAGATTTAGGAAATGTGGTGGTGCTATCACAGGGTTGATAGCACCACCACAGAACTCCACAGAGGTTTAGGCTTATTGAGTGACTTGACAACAATTGACACCCACCTAGCAACCAGCATTCGGGCAGAAAAAGTGGCCACGAGGAGACATCAGCTCTATAATTTGGCCCAACTCACTCACTGCACACAGCAGCTTACCAAGTGATTGGTGTCCACCCTCCCTGATGGTGTTACGAAGCCCCGACATCAAGCCACAATTCAAGACAGCTTGAAGCTGGACTCCCTGAGCCAGAGATAGATGAAGCTAGTTACAGAAAACTCGGGTCACCTATGACGCTTTCATACTCGCTTCGGTTTGGTCTACGAATACACATGCTCTAAGCCTTGCTCGCCCCAGAACGCAGACCATGTGGCTCGTATGAACAACTCAATGTCGATCTTAAAAAAAAAATTACTTGCGGATAAAGAAAGTCAACGTGCCGACAAGTTTAAACAGACTACAGCAACTGATCCCACTCTCAAGAGAGCACGCCGCCGACACCAGCACCGAACCGCCTCGTCTGCCCCACCAGGGCCAAGGAAGTAGGCGGACATTGGGAGGGGGGGGGGGGAAGAAAGGGGGGCACTTTTTTGAAATATTCATTTTTCGCTTTGTATCTGTGTATGACGGGCCATTGTTGCTGTCAGATATACTAGGTTCCGAGACGGCCTAAAAATGATGTCCACACACAATCGAGATCAGGAAAGGACTCTCAGACCATTTTTTCTTTTTCGCGGTTTCTAGAGCACGCTGATCTTCGTCATCTTTTTCGCGCAAAGGCTTGAGACACACACCGAGCGTTGTCTGCTCTCGCTCGTGACATGACAAGGGTTTTAAAGGCCAATTCCGGCGATTTTTCGACCATGTCAGGGTAATGGTGCTTTTATGTTCCTTAGGCACTTTTCTCACTAGCCCGATAGCTGAAATGCTCAGCAAATTTGAAAATAATTTTTAACAAGCAAGAAGTTGCAATACCAAAACCTAACCGAGTGTACTGTCCACGTATGGTGTACTATTTGGTAAGAGCAGTCGCCCCGACTGGATATACTTGTCCTGCGGGCACGGAATATGAAAACTGTGAAAGCCGGAACGAGTACGCACTTGGAGCAGAGGCGATCGTGCCGAGCCAGCTGAACACCCAACAGGAAAGGAAGAAGATTTTGCGTGCCAAACACCGTTGTCGTCGCCTTGTAAAAACGGACAGTAAACAGTTTAGCGGTCAAAGTTAGCGATGCCATCGGCTGCGTCATTTTCGTTGACATGCCAAACATGACGTCACACAGGCAGTGTTGCCAATAATTCTGGCCAGTCAGATGATGCCTTTCAAGGCAATCTTTGAAATTCATTTGCCAACAATCAGCGCATCTTTCAAGCATGTAATTTGGCATAAATGACGTAAATGTGCATAGGAACATACCCAGATAATTTCATTCAGGTTCATTGACCGTATCCACACTACTAGGCACACACTACTCCAAAGCATGAGGTTGCTCTATGTGAGCAATGCGGCTCAAATAGTCACACATTTCCACATGCACAGCATCCTTGGGGAGCTTGTATAAGTGCTCATCATTGTGTTTCCCGAGTCAGTATGTGGCTGGGAGCTTTCTGGCTTTCTTCAGGTCACTTACTTTGGCACAGTAGCTTGATTTTCTTTTTTTCCTCAAGCTCTTGGAGTTCACAGTGACTGTAGAGTATGTCTAGTCGCAGTACGGCATCTCTACCCTACACAAAGAAAAACGGAATACGGCGAACCATGTCTCGGTAGCAAAACATGTCATATGGGAGAACCTCGGCCCACTTTTCTCCTCGGTGGTAGCCATGGCAATCGTCTACATGATTGCCTCGTTGACCCATTCGCACAAGGCCGTTTAGTGGGTCATATGCGGTTGTACAAGAGTTTTGTCCACAATCTTTTCTTGAAAATATACGATGCCCGGTCACGGGAAGAACTTATATGCAGAAGTGGTTGGTCATTCACAATTACCGCACTTATGACTTGACCCGAGTTTTGCAGTTGATGGCCACCTGCTTCCACGAAACGCAGGGATTAAGGCCCAATGTTTAGTTGAGTTTTTATACAAGTGGAGCCGTAATCGAACTTTTGGCATCTGCTTAACTACTGGTGACTGCTTGCGGTCATGGCTGTCACCACTTGTTCATTTCCCCATTGTTTTTGACTTGAAAATCCGAATTCTTCTTTCCACTTCGAAAATTGGGGAGGTAGCGGTAGATGACATCGTGTGACAAAATGACCAATGCCGGGGCTGTTCAAACACAGTTTATAAACTCTCGAGATGTTTCCTTGGGATTTTTCAAGAACAGGTGTTGCTGATTGAGCTGTTCGCCACGACGGAAATGGCGTCCTCTTGGTATCTTCTTTTTTAGGCACTTTTCGCCCTGCTACTTGAGCGTCTGAGGAACCGCTCGAGTCCGCGCTATCTGTGGCCGATCGATAGCGGCTAGGCTTCCGTGGTGAACGCTTCACTCTAATGCAGTGTTTAGCGGATGGTGTTCTCGCTCTGGGCTCTCACTTTTATTTGAAACCACAGTCTGAACGTTTTCATCAGAGTTCCTGATTTGATCAAAGCGCAGAAAAGAGCTTATTATGTCGTTTAACTGCCCGAACATCTTGTCAAAAAAATTCTTTTGCACCTTAGGTGACAGCGTAGCCATGATGAGTACGGGATAATTGCACTGTTTCATGAGGTCTAACTTTCATTAGGCGAAGTCGGTACAAGACTCTCCAGTACATTGCGTTGCTTTGAACATTTGCTGCTTAGACGCTACTTAGCAATCCATGTCATAATGTCGGCGGAATGCTGCCTTCATCTCAGCCTAAGTGCTGATATCAGCAACTTTCGTGTGATGACGCATCGATGTAAAATATTTTGCTGGAAGCTTCGAGATAATAAATGGTACAGCGACTTCGTCAGGAACGCTGAAGGTCTTAAACCAGTAGACTACTTGGTGAAACCAGGCGTTTTTATCCTTCCCGAGATGCGGTAAGGAGATCGCTGCGAAACTTGAAAGTCGGTCACGAGCATCTTCCTCGTTAAACATGCGCGAGGTATTATCGCTTTTGGCTTTTTTTTTGTTGATTTTCTGAACTGCGTTTCAGATTCATTGACGCACTGCTCTCCTCTGAACTCATGCTTGTTTCAGTGTCAGCAGTGTGATGCTTTTTTACCTTCAAGGGCTTGATGCATTCTACGTGTGGAGCAAGTAGTTGCAAAAGAAGTCATGACTTGCCTTCGACTGCGTGTCAAGAGGTCGCTTTGATGCGTCATCATCTTTAGCGGCGTCGTGATTAGCATAATCAGTTTCAGGCCCTCTAATTCGTGTCGTCGCTGATTTATTTCTGTGTTTAGGGCATCGGCTTCCAACGCAGCTGACCTGTAGGCTTCCAGCCTGGTGGAGTTGTCTAGCTGCTCGAACACATCGACACAACACGGGGGCAATCGCTATCTTGGTTTCACGGAGTTAACGCTGTATTAAAGTCAGTGGTTGAGCTAAAAGAACGTGTGGAGAGCGACGTCCCACTTAGAAGATGTAAACGTCTACTTAGCTCATCCTGAGTCGTTGGGCACCAAATGTGATGTGCCGTTGTGGCTGTCGGATATACTGGGTGCTGAGGCAGCCTAAGAATGACGCCCACACACATTCAAGAACAGAAAGGGACTCCCACACCCTTTCTTTTTGTAGGCTCTGGGAGTGCGGGCGAGCTCAGCGTTGATCTTCGTCGTCTTCGCGCGAAGGGGTGAAACAAACACCGAGTGTCATCTGCTCTCGCTTGTGACTGTATGCCATGGCAGAAAAAAAAAACACCTGGGGGGGGGGGGGGGGGGGGCACAAGTATAGTATGGCACCTACTGGTTATGTCACTGCCTAGGCCTACTCTACCACAGCCTAAAAAGAAAATGAGAAACCGCGAAAACTGATGTCCCATGTTTC